GAATTAGCTGGCCGATGGAATGCAGGTAGATAATCAGCCGCAGCCTAGATAATCTGGGTGGACCAGAAATGACATAATCACGAAGGACCTGAATGTGGAAGAGTGAGAGACAGGAGTCAGCATCAGAGTGATGCCTTGTAAGGAAAACTCCCCCAGCCAGTGCTGGCTTTGCAAATGGAAGGGCCACAAGCCAAGGAATGCAGCAGCCTCCAGAAGCTAGAAAATGCAAGAAAAGAGGTAAGAGATCCCCTGAGCCTCCAGGAAGGAAAACAGCCCTGCCACCATCTGGATTTTAACCCAGTAGCACCCACCTCGGACTTCTGACCTCCAGACTGCAAGACAACAAATGTGTGATGATCTGAGCCACTGACAATGATGAACTTTACCTGAGCCTGGTGTTCCTGGAAAACAGGTGCTCCAGGAAGTGACCTACTACAGAGTCACTCTTTCCCATGTGACTTAGATGACACTCAAGCATAATCCCTTGTTTAGGACAAGGCCAGACACAGACCTTCCAAATTCCTGTTCTTTGCCTCATAAATGATAAGTTGAACTATTTTGTCTATTGTCACTTGGAACAAAAGGGACGTTAAGCTAACTTTGGCTAAATTTCTCTCCTTCCCTCAGTCCCAACCCTTAACCAGAGCTAGTAAACAACCCCTCCTTCATCCTATCCTAGGAATAGGGTGACCTCAGGGGAAAACGTTCTCGGTCCTATTGTCCTATCATGCCATGTACCTCATTCATCCCACTTCTCAGGCTTGGTTCTCCTTAGTCTTGTTTACTCCCCCTTATAAAAGAAAAGCCTTTTTCTGGCTGACCTCTGAGACAGTTGCAGATTTCACAGTCACAGAATTCTCCCTAATGCAACAGCCCTTTATCCCTCTTGCAATAATCCTTTCTCATATATAGCACCACCCTAAGTTCAGATTTGTCTTTGTGTTTTTGTTTTGTTTTGTTTTGTTTTTTGAGTCGGAGTCTCGCTCTATTGCCCCGGCTGGAGTGCAGTGGTGTGATTTCGGCTCACTGCAACCTCCGCCTTCTAGATTCAAATGATTCTCCTGCCTCAGCCTCCCCAGTAGCTGGGACTACAGGTGCGTGTCACCAAAACCGGCTAATTTTTTGTATTTTTAGTATAGATGGGGTTTCACCATGTTAGCCAGGATGGTCTCGATCTCCTGACCTTGTGTCCCACCCGCCTTGGCCTCCCAAAGTGCTGGGATTACAGGCGTGAGCCACCGCACATGGCTCAGATTTGCTTTTTATCTGACACCACTGAGTCTGTGTAATTTGCTATAGCAGCAGCAGGAAGTGAATATACCACCTAAAAGCAGCAGACTCCCCAAGCCTTCTTGGGAGAATGAACAAGGCAGGAGCAGGATACAACAGGATTCATTCCCATTTATGTAGCTCCTATCAAATAACTGGCATCCATTCCATTTGCACTCATACCAAAGACGGTGAAGATTTGAGATTGTAGGAGGTTTACCAAGATGAAGATCTTTGATCTATCAAATCAACGATCTCTCAATCCAACCCGGTAGGTGGCATAGCTGGGAGTCTCAAAGAACTATTCTTAAATTAGTTAAGAATTTTCTTCACTGTCACTGTCACTACACTGTCACTGTCACTGTCACAATGTCAACCATTATATGGAGACTTTCTTTTCTTTGCCAGAACCTCTGCTAGTTGCTGTGTCTACAGAGACAATAGAACATGGTCCTCACTTTCAGTGTCCCCTGTGTCTGGTGGGCTGTCACTACCCAGAGGAACTCCTTGATGGTTCAAGGAATAGGAATGCACTTCAGCCTCTTAGGATATTCACTTACAAGTCTGCATGTGAGAACTCATTTCATTTTAAAAATAAAAGGTAAAACTTGGAGAATGAATACAAATCACACCACTCTCCAGGATGCAAAATGGAAAAGGAATCTTCTGAGTTTAACACTGTGAACCCCTTAAGGAGTATCTCACGATATGTATGTAGCCTTTGCAAGGACGTTCTTTTAATAGGAATGACCTTGTTTTCCTATTTGCGCTATGTTGAGTATGAAGAGGTGCATTGCAAGCAAGGCTGATAGCTGACATGTTGAAATAGCAAAATAAAACCCTTTAGTTAAGAAATAAATCTTTATCTCCTAAAAGTCAGGCTGATGAACCAGATGTTTGAGTGATGCTGCTGCTATTTTAGTGTCTTCGGTTGTCATTTTTTACTTGAAGGTTTTAAAAATGAAGAAGCAAAAGGGGTCACTAAGCTTCCTTTGCAGCAGGCAGAGTCTGTCAGTGAGCCAGCCCCCCCCACACAATCGTACATGTGCTCGCACGCGACTTTCATGCCATATCACTCCAACACAGACTGCTTCTCACCCTCCCTATCTCAATCCACAGGTTGCACGTTTTACCTATCCAGAACACTCACTACTGTGTGAGGAATAATTGCTGTACCAAAGGCAACGCGCATACACCCTTAGCTAGCTCCAACTTTCCACACAGTAGGTAGAATTTGATATTTCTGGCTTATCATTTTGTAAAATGCATGCAGAGCAGGAAATTTAGAATATCTCATAAAATTGAAAGGTTTTCAATAGGAAGATCTACCCAGGGCAGCACTCCTGGCCACATTTTATTACTATTCCATTTCTCTCCTGAAGCCCAGGCACCTGGTTTGCATTTCCCCTGCAGCTTGACATCTTCAGGATGCCTTTCTCAGCTGAGTGGCCTGCGGCAGGGGCGATGGCCTTTCTCCAAGGAGCACATGGGTTAGCACATGTGCTGTTTTCAACAAACCACCTGACAAAGCTGTGACTTGCCCCCACGTGAGTGCCAGAGGTTGTAGAGGGGAGTTAGAAAAGGCAAAAGAGAAGAAAGAAAAGCAGAATGAACTCTGTACAGGCATGGACAATCTCCCACTCTGGCCCGTCTTTGATTCCTGGGTATGCAAAAGATTCCTAATCTGCAATCCTGAGTGAGTTTTGAAAGAAAGATGGTTTCCTGACATCAGATGCAATATTGTGGGGTCGGGGGATGTTTTTTATCAGATTCACAACAAAAGATTAAAACCCATCTTAGTAAAGTTTAAAATTCAGGTAAACAACATCTTCTTTAAACTCTCCAGCATCGCTCAAACTATTAATAAAAAATCCCTCTCATATCTGTTTTTGAAATCTGGTTGTAACCAAAGGGAAGTTTCTGTTTCTACTTTCTGTGCCCAAGGGAAAAAAAATTAAAGGGAAAAACAAAGAAGAGGGGGACGAGAAGAAAACAAAATTGGAATATAGTGAAGATGAAAGAAGGAGTCGCTATAGTAGTAGAATTTGAGAACTAGAAAGATCAATTTTTCCAATGTGCCCTTTTAATAAGTAGACAATGATGTGATCGTGATTTACCAAAAACGAATGATCGTGATTTACCAAAAACGATGAGGTAAAGTGTTGCCTGGTCACTCCTTCTGACATCTCACACCCAGCAGCAAGACAACCTCCAGGGCAAGTGGGAGAGGGAGTGATGAGTCCGTAGGCAAAGGCCTTGCCTGTGGGGCCCCAACAGACTCCTTACAGAAGATATTTCCCTCTGAGTTTGCCCCTAAAGACACTATTGGCTGAGCATGGTAGCTCACACCTGTAATTCCAGCATTTTGGGAGCCCAAGGTGGGAGGACCATTTGAGCCCAGGAGTTCAAGACCAGCCTGGACAACACAGCAGGACCCCATCTCTATAAAAATAAATCAATAGAAAGTAAAAATGCTGTGAGTGCACAAAAGCATGCAGTAGCCACAGGAACAACATCAAACAAAGTCAAATAAAGATTTTTAAATTTTTATTTAGGGCTGTTTATTTGATTTGACCCTTTTTCTTTCTATCTATCTCTATGCCCTGGGAATTAAGAGAACTGAGTTTGAGGAGCAAATCTGCATTTTGCTTAATGTTAACTGAGATGTTTCCTGCACTTCGGCACCAATATGGTTTGGCTGTGTCCTCACCCAAAATCTCATCTTGAATTATAATCCCCATAAGCCCCATAATCCCCACATGTCCAGGGAGAGACGAGTGGAGGTAATTGAATCGTGGGGGTGGTTTCTCCTATCCTGTTCTCATGATAGTGAGTGAGTTCTCATGAGATCTGATGGCTGTATAAGTGTTTGGTAGTTCCTCCTGCATTCATTCTCCTTTCTGCCGCCTCATGAAGAGGTGCCTTGCTTGCCCTTTGCCTTCTACTCACGATTGTAAATTTCCTGAGGTCTCCCCAGCCACGCTGAACTGTGAGTCAATTAAGCCTCTTTTCTTTATAAATTACTCAGTCTCAGGTATGTCTTTATAACAGTGTGAGAACGGACTAATATATACATGATCTGTGTACATATTATTGTTTAAAATGGTGTTCCTAGAGAGCATTAAGTGACCTAGTCAGACAAGCTGGGGTGTCAGGACCACGGTACTTGGTTCTAGGATCCTCAGGCCTTTTCCATGAGCCACACATGCACTCACAGTCTCCAACATTCCTCTTCAATGTCTTTTCTTGCTCAGGTCACAAGGAATGTTGCCAAGGCAAGCATCCAGGGCCCCTGGGCTGCAGATGCCCACTACCCTGCCTTTGGCCCTGCTCCTGTCTCTCTAGAACATTCTTTCTTCCTTGTCTATCCTGCTCTTAGAGAACACCTGCTCAGAGTTCTTTCTCTGTGACAACCATCACTGGCGGAAATTATCCCCCTCTTCCTCACGTCCCCACCAGACACAGGGGACACTGAAAGTGAGGACCATGTTCTATTGTCTCTGTAGACACAGCAACTAGCAGAGGTTCTGGCAAAGAAAAGAAAGTCTCCATATAATGGTTGAACCAAAGCTTTCATGGGCTCAGAATTTATTCATCTGACAAGTGTCTGTTGATCACTACTGTGTACCAGGTCTGTGCTATGAGGAAGGGATATAAAGATGAAAAAGACCCAGTTCATGTTTACAAAGAGCTCTTAGTCTAATGAAAATTAATGCAAATCTGTCAACCTCTAAAGGAGAAAAAATATCCAAGTTTATTCCCTTCTGATAACAGGACAGAGGCATCTTATTCTTGGGGCCAGAGTTCCAGCACCATTTGTAGAGAAACTCACCTGACTGGGCATCACACCCACACCTAATGAAGTCTTAATAACCTGATATGTTTAAAGCTGAATTCAAGTGAACAGAGGCCTGAAGATATTAGGGTTGATTAGGGAAAGTACAAGAGAGAAAGAAAGAAAATTAAATCTGAGAAAGAGAGAAATAAAAATGATAATCAAATTTTACGGTAGGCGATTTTGTTATATTTCTCCGTCTCAAAGTGAAGGCGAAAGTAGAATTTTCTTTTATTCTTTAGAAAATCCACAACTGGCCCAGGAGGCCAGGCATGTACTCGGTTCCCACCTCAAGACTTCATTTATAGCATTCTCCTATTTTTAAAAATGGATTTCTGTAAAATGTTTCATAATGTGGATTGGTTTCTTTGGGGTCTGCCTCTGCACTATAGCTGCATAAAAAAAGACATTAATAACTTCTCCGTTAATGGGTTTTTCAGAGTCTCCAAAGACTCACCTTGTACATTATAACTTCCTCCCCCTTAGCCCCCTGGCTATATCTTGATTGCCCTTGTAAGACATCTTCAGGACATATTGCTTAAGTTAAAGATTGTCCTGATGAGAAACAACTTCTCATACTAAGCACAACGTACACTCAGGAAACAGCCGTGCTTAAGTGCCGTCATTTCATGTGTCATTTTACCTTCATCCTGTGAAACGCTCAGCTCTGAGAGGGGCTGACCCTGCCTAGTAAATGAAGAATTTCAAAGACAGAGGCAGCTGAGGCTCTATCTAAGACACGGGAGGTGACTTTGAACTGGTTATTTCATATTTTTGTCCTTTGCCAAGACACTGTAGTCGGCTCGCCCAATCTTCACTTTTACAGGGTGAGGTGGAGTTCCCAGAAAATTATTGTTCCATTTTGAAACCTGTAGAAGAGAGAAAAAAGATTCCATAACATCATAATTTGCTAAGTGTATATGTATGTGTGTATACATGAAATATATGAGTATCTTTTCTATCATCCAGATATGCTAATATTAAAGATAGAGTCTTGCAATGAGTCTCAAATTTTGCTACATGAGCTCTATAAACCATAGAATGTAAATCATTAGAGGGTAGGAACCATGGCAGCCTCATATTTGTCACTGCTTCTAGTCTTGCTATTTTAGCCTTTTCTGGTCCTAAAAGAAATCAAGCTTGCATCTCACTAAATATCTGTCATTGGGACGAGCAACTGGCACCAGCCGCTTTAGCTTGGCAAGCAAACCCTGAATTCAGAAGTGACAAGCAAAGGTCCCAAGTTTCTTCTTGTTCAAGTAGGAGTGCTTTACCTTTTATGAGTTACACACAGCTTTGGGAATATTTTTAAATGTACATAACTACAAACAAAAGTCTGGATGCTATTTTTGGAGGGTCATAGGCCCTGACAGCTAACTTCAGCATCTCTACCTTGAAAATATTTTTAAAAGCAGTCTGCCCCATCTCTTCATATTCTGCCCTGTCTTCCCCAGGTTGGCAGCCCCTTGCTTTATTTTGGTCTCTGCCATCTTCATGCTACTCAGAGAGTACTTATTAAATAAGCAGCCTCCGAAATGATCAGGTAACTGCAGTGGTAGTTGTGTGCCTCGCCATGCTGCCGTTAAAGAAATGACAGTCTGGTTAACGAAGCAGCACTGGTTTTTGACAGATGACAAAGCATTCATGGCACTGAGATCAGTTTCAAAACAAACGGCTGTCTCAGGCTACTCACCACTCTGTCATGAGACTGTCAGGGGCTGCCTGTGCGTGGTTCACATCCGAGGAAGCTTGGCCAACTGGCGCTCACAAGAGATGACATCTATCAACAGCATCAGTCTCTACAGGCCTCCAAATACTACACCCAACATTCAAACACAAAGTGTGATAGAAGAGGCATCCCAGAGCGGCAGCTGCAAATTAGCGGCAGACAATGAAAAGTTGGTTCAAAATTTGGCTTCATGGTTTTCATTCAGGGCAGCATGATGAGTGAAAGCAGATTTTTGTCTCCCGTGGACCTCATTTGCCACTCACTTGCCCTTTCAAACCACCCTTTTACTCAGTTTCCCTTTATAGAAAATGGGGAAAATTGAAACAATTATTTTCCAAGGTTACTGTGAATGGTAAATGTAGTGGTAGTTAGTACAGGTAACTACTACAGTGCCTGTCAAGTATTAAAGGATTCAAGAAACTCACGAATGAAACAGTAAATGCAAGTTAGTTCTAACTTATAAAAGGAAATCATCTAAGTTTTATCTGAGAACTACATAGTAAAGTCAGTCTGCATGGGCTGCCATAACAAAATGCCATAAATTGAGGGGCTTAAACAACAGAAATTGATGTCTTGAAGTCCTGGAGGCTGGAAGTCAAAGATCAAAGTGCGGATGGAGATCAAAGTGCAGGTGGACTCGGTTCTTGGTGCGAGTGGACTCTGTTCTTGGTGCGATTCTTCTTCCTGGTTTGCAAATGCTGCCCCCTCATTGTGTCTTCACGTGGCAGATGTGGTGTGGGGGAGAAAGAGGCAGACCTGGTGCTTTCTGATGTCCCTTCTTATAAGCACACTGATCTCATCAGATCAGGGCCACACACTTATGACTTCGTGTCACCTTAAATCCCTCCTAAAGGCCCTATCTTTAAATACAGTCACATTAGTGGTTAAGAATTAGTGCAACTTAGGAACTTGGGGAAAATACAGTTCAATTCCTTGCTAATGACAATAGATTTTAGGTATCCTGAGAAATTTGGAAAATCAGACCCAAACTGAAATAATATCTCTAATTAACAAATTTTATAAATCTTGAACTGAGAAAATTAAAATTCTGAATTGAGAAAGTCCGTACAAAATTATATTTCTCCTTCTCTGGGTTGAGGGAGAGCCATGCCAAGTCCAGAAATTCTCCACCATTTGGCCCATTTTGTGAGTCTATTGGTACAATTTGAGGGTTGGATCACAGACACAAAAGTATGATGCGAGGGACACTCCACCAACGGTGCCAGGGAGTGAGGGCAGGGAAGGCAGGCTAGCCTGCAACTGCCACTTGCTCTGTGTGGCCATTGTCAATGAAGGATCCCAGGGGCAAGAGAGAGTATTTTAAAGTTCATGGCACACAAAGAGTATGGAAGAAGTCAGGGATATTTTCTGAGTTGGGAAAAACATACCTAGTTTTCTGCTAAATCGACACAGCTTTTCTTTTTCTTCTAGCTCTGGAGAAACTAAAATGTGAGGGAAAAAGCTCCCCTGCATTTTCATGCCCATCTGTCTGTGCTTACGCTGTTCCTTTGGCTTGAATACTGTTCCTGCCTTCCCTCATGGGCAAAATAATCAAGTCCCAGGCAAATAACACATCCTCCTTATAATTTCTCATAAGTTCCATCTTATGATGGAACCCCAGATAAGTTCCAGCAGCATTCTCTCTCTTTCACCCCATATCCCAATACACTTTCCTCTTGCTACTCTGTGACCTCTTAGCAAGTTCTTTACCCCTCCACCACTCAGTTTCCTTGCCTGCAAAATGGATATGTTATTGATATATATCTCATAGATTTGTAGTAATTATTGAAACAATAAATGTGAAGCATTTAATACTGTGCCTGACATATTACAGCCGCTTAATACATTTTAACCTATTGCTATTATTATAAATTGTTTGTGACATGTGTTTCAGATATCTTGAACAATTTTCCAGGCCTTAGTGCTTCTATTAACTACATAATATTTACAGAACTGTATAAAAATAGATAAAGACACTTAAAAGTATGTATGACATGTTCGTTTTAAAAACTTGAATTTATGATTTTTGGAGAAATTTATGATTTTCTCCTATAAATCATTATTCTTTTAAAATCAACCATGTTGAGGCATAATTTACATTCAATAAAATTTACTCATTTTATGTGTAAAGTTTAATGCATGTTAACTAATGCATACACCATTGTGACTGGCACTACTTATGAGACACAAAATACTTCCATCCCTCCCCCTGAAAGGTCCCTTGTGTCCTGATCCACTCAAGTCCATTCTACCCCTACCCTGGGAAATTACTGATCTACTTTCTCTCACTACAGATTCATTTTACCTGATCTATAATTTGATATAAATCAAATCCTACAGTTTGCTTTCATTTTTTTCTGGTTTCTTTTCCCAGATTAATGTTTTGAGATGTGCCTATATTGTTAAATCTATCATTAACTAATTTTTTACTGTTTTTAATTTTTTTTTTTACCCATTATATGGCTATACCACACAGTTTGTATATAGCTTTGCCGTAGATGGACATTTGATTGTTTCTGTCTTTTATGCATCATGAATAAAGCTGCCATGAACATTTCATTACAAGTCTTCATATAAACATACATTTTCATTTCTCTTGGAATTAAATTGTTAGGTAAAATGGCAAGTGCATATTTATAAGAAACTTCCAGGTTATCTCCTATTTTGATTTCCCCCAGTGATGTATGACTTCCAATACTCAATGACGTTACCAATATTTTGTGATGTAAGTCTTTACTTTTTGTCTTTCTAGTAGGTGTACGGCAGTATCTTACAGCGATTTTCATTTATTTTCCCCAATGATTAATGATGTTGATGATGTTTTCATGTGTTCCTTGCCCATTCATATACTGTCTTCTATGAAGTTCCTATTCAAATATTTTTTTTTCTTATTAAGTTGTAGAAACTCTTTATGTATTCTAACTACAAGTCCCTTGTGAAATACATGTAATCTAATATCCTCTCACAATCTTCAGCTTGCCTCTCATATTCTTAACCATGTCTTTTAAAGAAAAGAGCTTTGGATATAGTCAAATTAATCATTGTTTGTTATATTTAGCTTTTGTTTTCTGAGGAATTTTTGCTTACCCCAATGTCACAAACATTTTCTTGCATGTTTTTGTCTCATAGTTGTATGGTTTCAGCTTTAACATTTAACTCTATGATATATTTAAAGTATGTTTTTGTGAAAATTACAAAGTAATGGCTGAGGTTTATTTTTCTTATACATATATCCAGCTCCTCCAGAACAATTTATTTTTTAAGAAATGATGTTTCCCCAGTGAACAACTGTAACACTTTTTTTGAAAATCAATTTCAAATGCATATGTATGTGTCTATTTTTAGACTCGATATTCTGTTTCATTGCTCCATGTGTTTTTCTTAGGCCAATATCAGTCTTGAACACAACTAAGCCTTGTGTCCCCACCCAAATCTCATCTTGGTTGTGTCCCTACCCAAATCTCATCTTGAATTCCCATGTCTTGTGGGAGTTACTCAGTGGGAGGTAAGTGGATCATGAAAGCAGGTCTTTCCCATGATGTTCTCATGGTGGTGGGTGAGTCTCATGAGATCTGATGGTATTATAAGGGGGAGTTTCCCAGCACAAGCTCTTTTCTTTTGCCTGACACCGTCCATGTGAGACATGACTTGCTTCTCCTTGCCTTCTGCCATGATTTTGAGACTTCCCCAGCCACTTGAAACTGTAAGTCCATATTAAACTGCTTTTTTGTAAATTACCCAGTCTCAGGTATGTCTTTATCAGCAGTGTGAAAACAGACTAATACAGCAAATTGGTACCAGGAGTGGGGTGTTGCTGAAACAATACCCAAAAATGTGGAAGTGACTTTGGAGCTGGGTAAGAGGCAGAGGTTGGAACATTTTGGATGGTTCAGAAGAAGACAGGAAAATGTGGGAAAGTTTGGAACTCCCTAGAGACTTGTTGATTGGCTTTGACCAAAATGCTGATAATGATATGGACAATGAAATCCAGGCTGAGGTTGTGTCAGATGGACATGAGGAAGTTTTTGGGAACTGTATCAAAGGTGAATCTTGTTATATTTTAGCAAAAAGACTGGTGGCATTTTGCCCCACCCTAGAGATCTGTAGAAATTTGAATTTATGAGAAATGATTTAGGGTATCTAGCAGAAGAAATTTCTAAGCAAAAAGCATTCAAGATATGACTTGGGTGCTGTTAAAAGTATTCAGTTTTATAGGGGAAGCAGAGCGTTAAAGTTTGGAAAATTTGTAGCTTGACAATGTGATAGAAAATAAAATCCCATTTTTTGAGGAGAAATTCAAGTTGCCTGAAGAAATTTGCATAAGTTACAAGGAGCTGAATGTTAATCCCCAAGGCAATGGGAAAAATGTCTTCAAGGCATGTCAGAGGTCTCCAAGGTAGCCCCTCCCATCACAGGCCCAGAGACGTAGGAGGATAAAAATGGTTTCATGGGCTGGGCTCAGGGTCCCCATGCTGTGTGCAGCCTAGGGACTTGGTGCCCTGCATCCCAGTCACTCCAGCCACAACTGAAAGAGGCCAACGTAGAGCTCAGGACATGGCTTCAGAGTGTGCAAGCCTCAGGCCTTGGCAACTTCCACATGGCGTTAAGCCTGCCAGTGCACAGAAGTCAAGAATTGGGGTTTGGGAACCTCCACCTAAGATTTCAGAAGAAGTATGGAAATGCCTGGATGTACAGGCAAATGTTTGCTGCAGGGGAGGGACCCTCATGGAGAACCTCAGCTAGGGCAGTGAGGAAGGGAAATGTGGGTTCAGAGCCCCCCACAGAGTCCCCATTGGGACATCATCTAGTGGAGCTGTGAGGTGATGACCTCTGTCCTCCAGACCCCAGGATGGTAGATCCACTGACAGCTTGCACCATGTGCCTAGAAAAGCCCCACTCAACACCAGCCTGTGAAAGCAGTTGGGAGGGAGGTTGTGCCCTGCAAAGTCACAGGGGCAGAGCTGCCCAAGACCATGTGTATCCACCTCTTGCATCAGCATGACCTGGATGTGAGACATGGAGTCGAAGGACATCATTTTGGAGCTTTAAGGTATGTCTGCCCCGCTGGATTTCAGACTTGTATGGGGCCTGTAATCCCTTTGTTTTGGCCAAAGTCTCCCATTTGAAATAGCTGTATTTATCCAATGTTTGTACTCCCATTGTATCTAAGAAGTAACTAACTTGCTTTTGGTTTTACAGGCTCATAGGTGGAAGAGGCTTGCTTGCCTTATCTCAGATGAGACTGTACTTGGACTTTTGAGTTAATTCTGAAATGAGTTAAGACTTTAGGGGACTGTTGGGAAGCCATGAGTGGTTTTGAAATGTGAGGACATGAGATTTGGGAAGGGCCAGGGGTGGAAAGATATGGTTTGGCTGTGTCCCCACCCAAATCTCATCTTGAATTCCCATGCATTGTGAGAGGAACTCAGTGGGAGGTAACTGGGTCATGGAGGCAGGTCTTTCTCATGGCGTTCTCATGATGGTGGGTGGGTCTCATGATATCTGATCGTATTATAAGGAATGTTTCCCAAGACAAGCTCTTTTTCTATGCCTGCTGCCATCCATGTAAGATGTGACTTGCTCCTCCTTGCTTTGTGCCACGATTGAGGCTTCCCCAGCCACTTGGAACTGTAAGTCCATATTAAACCTCTTTTGAGAGGCTCAGTTATGTCTTTATCAGCAGGCTCAGGTATGTCTTTATCAGCAGCCTAGGCTCAAGTATGTCTTTATCTGCAGTGTGAAAATGGACTAACACACCTTGAAATCAAGCAGTATAAGAGATTCCCCTTCATTCTGTTTTTTCAAAAACTTTAAGCTGTTTCTTACCACCATCCAATATACATTTTTTGATGATAAAAATGTTCTATATTTGTGCTGTCCAATACAATATCCACAGCCACATGTACCTAAGTGTATGAAAAATTTGGATTTTATAACTGAGAAACTAAAT